AATTATATCCAAAATACATAAAGAATTCTGACAAATCGATATGAAAAAGACCACTCAACGACAAACAGGCAAGACTTGGTCAATCACTGTACAAAGACCTGACCCAGGGCCAACCAAGTGGCAAAACGCTTACGGCTCTGGATCCCACATAGCCAACTTTGCAGGTGGAGCCCTGGACCCAGTGGCTTGAGAAATACGCTACATACATGTGTGTGCATGCCTAAAATCCCAAGAGGAAAATGGAGGAAAAGGTAATGTAGTATTGCCAACCCCACCCACATCCCCCCCGGGAGTGATTTCTCACTTTCCCTCTCTCTCTCTCTCTCATCTCTCTGGTGAGCACATGTGGCTTGCAGCAAAAATTTTAAAAAAAAAAAGAAAGGGAACAGCAGTTGGTGTAATGGCTATGTTGCTGGACTCAGAGCAATGGCCATATGTATCTGTTCCCCATTCTCCGGTGGCATGCCACCCACACTTTTCTACCTCTTGCTTTGGTCACTTAATACACATTAGAGACTGTCAACACTCTGAGTACCTGCCTCCCTTCTCAACAGCCACAGTGTCCCACCGCAGGCTCATGCCAGTCCTCAAAGGTTGTCATCCAGGTTGTTGCCAACCTCTGGCCCCCACACCTGCCTCACCTGATAGTCTTTCTGCAGCAGCACAGTGTGGATGAGGCTCTTGTCGAGGCACAGGGCTGCGAGCTTCCGGCAGGTGCGTCGTACACTCAGGATCAGGTCTGTGCTGGGGACGTGGCTCAGAATGTGCAGGAGAATCTCGTCGGAGAAGCCCAGGAGGTGGGCACCACCTGCCATGCTGGCTGCTGCAGGGTGCACGTCCTCATCATTGGTCATGTCCTGAGAATAAGAGGATATCAAATACCCACAGGATCCCCAGGGGCAGCTATTGGCCCAGGCTCCCCAGACAAGGAGAAAGCAAGAGAAGCCCTCACCACAGTCCACAGGAAAGAAAGTACTTACACCAGATGTCTTAACTACATTGCAAAGAACTCAAAATTCTTCAGAAATCCTTTTTTTTTCCCCTGAGGGTTTTTTTTTTTGCTATAGGGTGCGTGCGCTTATCAGAAAGACAGAAAGAGACAGAGATACAGAAAGCAAGATATCACTTTCCAGGGGGGATGGCCACACCACAATCCCTTCTCCTCCATTCTTTCAGGATCTTGCACGCGGGCCTGGGGTGAGTTTAAGCCACTGGGTCCGGGACTCGAACCACAGACAACCACATGGGAGTCCAGCAACATAGCCATTATGCCAACTGCTGGTCACCAGAAAATCTTTTTAGGTCAGCAAACTAGGATCTCTCTTCAAAAACAAAAGATTAGATACCGTCCTGAGGGTATGCAGCAGTAACACAACACCCTGTGAGGACTGACCCACACAGGCAGGTTCTGGGTTCATAACCAGAGACTTCCTTAAACACATACCCAGTATGTCTCTCAAGTCACAGGTCTGAGACTCAAACTGCACATTTGGCCTTGTGGGATACAACTACCTTAACTACCAAACCACAGGCTGGTCCCTAACAATGATGTTTTTTATTTTTTTCTAATGATGTTTATAAACCTTAAAATCTTTACTACCAATAAATAGGACCAGCTGGTGGCATGGTAGTTAAGATGGCCAGATCTCACATGGTTGACTGCAAGGTTCAAGTCCCAGACATAGTGGCTTGAGAAATACACCAGGCACATGTACATGTGAGCCCAAAATCCCAAGAGGAGAATGGAGAAGGGATTGCAGCATCCTTGAAGGGTGCTTTCTCTCTCTCTGTCTCCTATCTCTCTCTCTAGAGGATACACATACTCCATAGCAAAAAAAAAAAGGCACTTTAAAAATAACTTGTACAGGGAACCAGCAATTAGCGTAATGGCTATGTCACTGGACTCCCACATAGTCGACCACGGTTCGCGTCCCAGACCGGGTGGCTTAAAACTCATGGCGGGCGCGTGTGCATGCGTGCCCAAGATTCCAAGAGGAGAATGGAGGAGAAGGGATTGCGGCATGACCATCCCCCCTGGGGGGTGATTTCTTGCTTTCTGTCTCTATGTCTCTCTCTGTCTGGCGAGCGCACGTGCCCCCCCAAAAAAAAAAAAAAAACTTGTACAGGGACCAGCAGGTGGCATGGTGTTAAGGTGCTGGACATTCCCAGCTAACCACGGTTCGAGTCTTGGACCTGGTGGCTTCCTTTGTCCCTTTCCCTCTGTGTGTGTCTCTCTCTGGTCAAATTTTAAAAGAAAATTAATGAATGAATAAATAAAAATTAAATAAATAATAATTTAAAAAAATAAAATAAAATAACCTGTACAGGGCTGGCAGGGGCATGGTGGTTAAGGGCACTGGACTCCCACATGGCCGACCGCAGCTCAAGGTCCCAAACCTGGTAGCTTGCTTTCTCACTTTCCCCCTCTCTCTCTCACTGACCCTCTCTGGTCAAATAAAATAAAATAAATGAATGAATAAAGTTAAGTAAAATCATTCTTTAAAAATAGTAACTGTACTAGGTCCAGCAGGTGGCGTGGTAGTTAAGGCGCTGGACACTCCCACACGCCCAACCACAGTTCAAGTCCCGGACCTAGTGGCTGGCTTTCTCACTTCTCTCTGTCTCTCTCTGTGTGTCTCTCTCTGGTCAAATTAAAATAAATGAATGAATAAAAAAAATTAAATGAAAAAAATAACGTTAAAAAAAAGAGCAAAACCTAGGGACTAGCAGTTGGCGTAATAGCTATGTCACTGGACTTCCATGTAATCAACCACAGTTCAAGTCCCAGACCCGGCGGTTTAAGCTCACACCAGGCTCATGTGCGTGCGTGCCCAAGATCCCGAGAGGAGAATGGAGGAGAAGGGATTGCGGTATGGCCATCCCCCCTCGGGGGTTACTTTCAGGTTAGACCCTCCTGTTGGTATTTCCAATCAGATTTCTGTGTATCTCAAATGGCTCTGCAAGTAGACACAAGTACCTGGCAAACTGGAAGTATACTTCCCTGACATGGGCCTTTGGTCCAAATGCTCAATCCCCTTTTGATTTGTATGATCCAAAAGGAGAGGGGCTCACCCTATGCTAACATGACAGGAAATTCTCCGATCAAAGGCCAAGAAAAGCAAAAGACTATCCTGCCTTTCCCAGCGATTCTGTCCTCAAGAGCCTCCACCTCCAGCTGCCCCTCTTCCATTATGCCTCCTGTCCTGATCTGCATGGATGGAAGCTTTGAGTTACTGAAAGCCCTGCTGCTGCCATGGCAACCGTGGAGTCCGCGGAGGAAGAGCCTGCCTGCACGCCCACGCAGGCAGGAGAGGTTTCCCGGGAACTCTGCCTGCAACATCCCTTTCACTCTATCCTGCCTGGCCCTCACCAGGCCAAACACAGGTGGCCAAGAATATTTCCCAACCGTTCTTCCTGGGGACAAAGGAGAATCCTCTATCCTCCAAGAAAGAGCTACATCAGACACCAAAGGACACAGACAGGTCAGAGAGTACATGCATCGTCCCCCAAAAAAAAAAAAAAAACTTGTACAGGGACCAGCAGGTGGCATGGTGTTAAGGTGCTGGACATTCCCAGCTAACCACGGTTCGAGTCTTGGACCTGGTGGCTTCCTTTGTCCCTTTCCCTCTGTGTGTGTCTCTCTCTGGTCAAATTTTAAAAGAAAATTAATGAATGAATAAATAAAAATTAAATAAATAATAATTTAAAAAAATAAAATAAAATAACCTGTACAGGGCTGGCAGGGGCATGGTGGTTAAGGGCACTGGACTCCCACATGGCCGACCGCAGCTCAAGGTCCCAAACCTGGTAGCTTGCTTTCTCACTTTCCCCCTCTCTCTCTCACTGACCCTCTCTGGTCAAATAAAATAAAATAAATGAATGAATAAAGTTAAGTAAAATCATTCTTTAAAAATAGTAACTGTACTAGGTCCAGCAGGTGGCGTGGTAGTTAAGGCGCTGGACACTCCCACATGCCCAACCACAGTTCAAGTCCCGGACCTAGTGGCTGGCTTTCTCACTTCTCTCTGTCTCTCTCTGTGTGTCTCTCTCTGGTCAAATTAAAATAAATGAATGAATAAAAAAAATTAAATGAAAAAAATAACGTTAAAAAAAAGAGCAAAACCTAGGGACTAGCAGTTGGCGTAATAGCTATGTCACTGGACTTCCATGTAATCAACCACAGTTCAAGTCCCAGACCCGGCGGTTTAAGCTCACACCAGGCTCATGTGCGTGCGTGCCCAAGATCCCGAGAGGAGAATGGAGGAGAAGGGATTGCGGTATGGCCATCCCCCCTCGGGGGTTACTTTCAGGTTAGACCCTCCTGTTGGTATTTCCAATCAGATTTCTGTGTATCTCAAATGGCTCTGCAAGTAGACACAAGTACCTGGCAAACTGGAAGTATACTTCCCTGACATGGGCCTTTGGTCCAAATGCTCAATCCCCTTTTGATTTGTATGATCCAAAAGGAGAGGGGCTCACCCTATGCTAACATGACAGGAAATTCTCCGATCAAAGGCCAAGAAAAGCAAAAGACTATCCTGCCTTTCCCAGCGATTCTGTCCTCAAGAGCCTCCACCTCCAGCTGCCCCTCTTCCATTATGCCTCCTGTCCTGATCTGCATGGATGGAAGCTTTGAGTTACTGAAAGCCCTGCTGCTGCCATGGCAACCGTGGAGTCCGCGGAGGAAGAGCCTGCCTGCACGCCCACGCAGGCAGGAGAGGTTTCCCGGGAACTCTGCCTGCAACATCCCTTTCACTCTATCCTGCCTGGCCCTCACCAGGCCAAACACAGGTGGCCAAGAATATTTCCCAACCGTTCTTCCTGGGGACAAAGGAGAATCCTCTATCCTCCAAGAAAGAGCTACATCAGACACCAAAGGACACAGACAGGTCAGAGAGTACATGCATCGTGCGGGTCAGAGGTCTCAGGATTTATCTTAACAGCATCAGCCTCTCCACCTGCCCTTCTCCAGGAAGAAGCAGCAGTAGCAGCCAGACATGCCTTCCCTCCCTGCTCAATCCCACCTTCCTACTCCACCCTCCCAAGGGCAGTGGCACTCTCAGCCCCAGATCCATGTCAAGCCCAGGGTTTGGTGTTTGTAATACTGACTTTCCCTTACACAGCATTTCCTAGAGCCCCACCATGGGGGTCACGCAGGACCCTCTTAAGAATCAGATTCCCAGGCCACCCTAGAACTGTGGATTCCATCCCCAAGGGACAGGTTCCTGAACCAGGGACAAGAGCTATCAGAAACAGGGACAAGCCTTACCTGAACTAGACACAACCCTGATCAGAGCCACACAATCCTTCCAGGCAAGGTTGACAAACAGGGCTTTGGAGAAGGCCCAGGGCCAAATCAGGAAAGGCTATGACATCACATGACCAGGGTTGACGGTTCCCCATCCTGATCCCCAACGGTAGATTCATCAAGGTGAGAATGCCATCCTGCGAGCTCACACGGATAAGTAAGAACACAGGGCAAAACCTTGTAAAAACAAAACCCAGCATCATATAATTTTAGCATTTACACTTGCTGTGTTTGAATATGTCCCCCTAAAATTCAGGAGATGAAATTTGGTTGTGACAGAAGTAAGAGAGAGAGGACTTAATCCAATCCAACTATGAGATTAAGAGGTGGGGCCTGGGACCAGCAGTTGGTGTAATGTTGCTGGGCTCCCATGTAGTTGACTGTGGTTCAAGTCCCAGATCCAGTGGCTTAAACTCACGCTGGGCACGTGTGTGTGTGTGTGCCCAAGATCCTGAGAGAAGAATGGAGAAGGGATTGCGGCGTGGCCATCCCCCCTGGGAGGCGATTTCTCGCTTTCTATTTCTCTGTCTTTCTCTGTCTTTCTGGCGAGCACATGCGCCCTATAGCAAAAACCTCTCCAAAAAAAAAGAAGTGGGGCCTTAGGACCAGCAGATGGTGTAATGATTACATCAGTGGACTCCCACGTAGTCCACTGCAGTTCGAGTCCCAGACCTGGCAGCTTAAAAAAAAACTCACACCGGGCATGTGTGCGTACCCAAAATCCTGAGAGGAGAATGGAGAAGTGTGGCCATTCCCCTGGGGGGTGATTTCTCACTTTCTCTCTCTCCACTTCTCTCCACCAAGCACACGTATCCTATATCAAAAAGTCTCTCAAAAGAAAAAAAAAAAGAAAAAGAGGGGCCAACAGTTGGCATGGTAGCTGAGGCACTGGACTCCCACATGGCGGACCACAGTTTGAGTGCTAGACCTGGAGGCTTGCTTTCTCTCTCTCTCTCTGTCTCTCCCTAGTGAGCACATGTGCCATATAGCAAAATTTTTAAAATAATTATAATAAATGAAATTAAATAATTCCTTAAAAAAAGAAAAAGAAACAATATGGGTCATGTGTTGGCAATTACTGGTAAACTAGGCAGCGGGCATGTGAAAGAGATTTGCTGGGAGACCAGCAATTAGCCTAATGGCTATGTGGCTGAACTCTCATGTGGTTGACTGCAGTTCGAGTCACGGACCCAGTGGCTTAAACTCACAACAGGTGCGTGTGCATGCATGCCCAGGATCCTGAGACGAGAATTGAGCAGCATGGCCATCCCCTCTGGGGGGTGATTTCTTGCTTTCTGTCTGTCTCTCTCTTTCTGGCGAGCACATGCACCCTATAGCAAAAACCTCGAAAGAAAGAAAGAAAGAAAGAAAGAAAGAAAGAAAGAAAGAAAGAAAGAAAGAAAGAGAGAGAGAGAGAGAGAGAGAGAGAGAGAGAAAGGAAGGAAGGAAGGAAGGAAGGAAGGAAGGAAGGAAGGAAGGAAGGAAGGAAAAGAAAGGAAAGAAAGGAAGAAAAGAAAGGAAAGAAAGGAAGAAAAGAAAGAAAGAAAGGGAGAGAGAGAGAGAAGAAAGAAAGAAAGGTAGATTTGTTGGGTCAGCAGATGGCTTGAGGTTAAGGCACTGGATCCCACACAGTTGAGTAGGATCCAGTGGGATCCCAGCTCGAGTCCTGTACCCAGTGACTTGAAAATCATGTCAACCATGTGTGCATGCATACCCAATACTTCAAGAGAAGAAACTGTGGTGTGACCATCCCCCCAGGTTGTGATTTCTCACTTTCTCTCTTCTCTCTCTTTGGTGAGCGCATGCACCCTATAGCAAAATTTTAAAAAGAGAGAGGTTTGTTATGGCATTCTTTACAAATGTATGGTGATTAAGGCAGCTGGATCCTACAGACCTAACTACGTGGTTCAAGTCCCAGACTCAAGGGCTTGAAAAACACAGAGAGTGCATGTTTGTGTGTGCCCGAAAATCCCAAAGGAGGAGAAATGAAGAAGAATGGCTGAGTTAACAAATCCCCTAGGGGGGGTTCTTTCTTACCCCTACCCAGTCTCTGTCAGGCTACTACATGTGCCCTCTAGCAAATTAAACACACACAGAATCTAGGTCATACCGTAGTACAGTGGAAGCTGGATCCCACATGGCTCACCACTGCTTAAATCTCAGCCCTAGTGGTTTCAAAAACACACAGCACACACACATGAATGCCAAAAATCCTGACGAAAGGAGAAACACAAGACTATGCCCCACTGGGGGTGTGCTTGCTCTCTCTCTGGCCAGAACATATACACTATGGCAATAAAAATAGTAACCTTTTTTTAAAATGCAGGACTCTGGGGCCAGCAGGTTGGCAAAGTAGTTAAGGGCACTGGACTCCCACACAGCCGACTGTGGTTCAAGTCCCGGACCCAGTGGCTTAAACTCACGCTAGGTGTATGTGCGCACGTGCCCAGGATCCAGAGAGGAGAAGGGAGTAGAAGGGATTGTGGTGTAGCCATCCCCGAAGGGGGTGCCTTTTCACTTTCTGTCTCTCTGTCTTTCTGGCAAGTGCACACGGCCTATAGCAAAAACCCCTCAAAAAAAAAAAAAAATGTAGAGCCCTAATCATCAAAAACTGCCAGACAGTGCCAAGAGAGTTAAGGCAGCTGGGTCTCACATGGCTCAGTATGTGGTTTCAGTCCACACCTGGCTATTTGCCATGTGCATGCATGCCCAAAATCCTAAGAGAACGAAGAAGTCATTGTGGTATGGCCATTCCCCCCAGGGGGGATTTCTCTCTCTCTCTCTCTCTGTCTTTGTCCAGTGAGTGCACATGCCCTAGAGCAAAATTTTTTTTAAAAGGGGGAGGCAGCAGACGGCATGGTGGTTAAAGCACTGGATCCCACATAGCAGACTATGCAGTTTTGAGTCCCAGACCCAGCAGCTTGCCAGACACACGTATGTGTGTGCCCAAAATTCCAAGAGGAAAATGGGCGAGAAGGGAATGTAGTGTGGCCGTCCCCCCTGGGGAGGGGGGTGATTTCTCACTTTCCCTCTCTATTTCTCTCCAGTGAGCATATGTGCCCTATGGCCAAAACAAATATATAAATAAAATAAAATCTCATTCCTTCTAGAATCAGGTCATGGAGATGGATGCACAATCTTGTGAATGTAATTTTTCAAAAACCACTGAACTGTATACTTTAAATTCATTGAGAATTCTGGGTGGGCTCCATGGCACTGCAGTAAAGTGCTGCTCAAGAGAAGTCAAATCTCACATGGTGACCGCAATTTGAATCCCCAGCCCAGTCACCTGAAACATACCAGGAATGGACATGAATGCTCAGGATCCAATGGACTGGAGGACTGGAAGAAAGGGATCATGACGTGACCAGACCCAGCAGAGGGTGCCTCTCTCTCTCTCTCTCTCTCTCTCATACACACACACACACACATTCTCTCATATGCATGTGCTGTCTTGAACAAGGGGAAAAAAGTGTGAATTTTGTGGAATGTAAATTATACCTCAATAAATAAATAATTAGACCACCCCAGGAAAAGGATCCTTTATCTCCACATTTAGGACAGAAACAGACTCTTCTCTCATCCAAGAGCTACCCACCATCCAACAAGGGGCCAGTCGCACTGGCCAGGTCTCACACATGTACTTGAAGTAACAGAGAGGTCTTTGAGCTGGGACACCGTCAAACTAAAGTTCCTGAGCCCTCCTCTCACCAGCACACAACTGGAATCTGAGACAAAAGCCAGGGACCCCAGAACTGCTCCTCTGGAAGCAGAGCTTTATGTCCCCCTCAAGCTATCAAATCTGCAGCTAGGCCTTGGACCCTTCCCTGTCAATCAAGAAGCTACAGGCTTCTTGGGCCAAATCCACTACACAGGAAGACTGTCAGCAACCACCAGCCATCTTCCACACAACCAAGCCCCATCGCCCTGAGAAAAACACCAGAACTCCTCATTCTTCTCTAGAACCCAAGCAGAGTCTTAAGACTTACAAATATGCCCAATGATCTCAGTCCTTGAAGACGGCAGATATAACCCCAAGTTCACACACACGGAGGCAGGAAGCAACACAAAGAAAGCCACTAGTCAGGATCATACATGTCCCCTTGTCTGAGGAGAATACTTTGCAACACATTACAGGGATGCGGTGGGATTCTCCATTGGACCCAGAATCGTGGAGCATTGGGAAATAAATTCCAGAGTTAAGTCCTAAGTCACCCAGGTGGAATGGCTTTTCCTCCATCACACACACCAACCTCCTGTCTTTCAAGTAGATGCTAAAGAATGGACGGTTGGACTAAAACTGAACATTCAAAGAAAGAATACAGGGTGGAAGGCAGGCACAGATAGGAACGTCCCAGAGCTATAAACGCGGAGCCAAGGCATAGGGGCATGGGAAACGGCCTGGGAGGTCCAGAGCAGCCTAGAAATTCAGGGGGCGGAAAGGCAGGAAGCAACTCTGGCAACCAGGAATGTGGGGGCTTTGGAGGCGAGCGAGGGTCTGGGGGCGAGATGGAATGAGAAGGGAGCCAGAACCTGGCAAGGCCAGGGCTGGGATCGGAAGGACGGGGTGGGGTAGGGGCTGGGATGGGAAGGACCGACGGAGCTGAGGCCGCCGAAGCCGGAGCAGAGCGGAGAGAGGCGCGGGCCGTACCTCTCCGGAGCGCGGGCGTTACCTCTCCGGAGCTGGCCATGTTGCCGGCAGGCTCTGCCGCCCCGCAGCCCGGACGCTCCAAGCTGGCGCGGCCGCGGCTCAACAGAGATCCCCGGCAAGGGGCGGGACCTCCCTCACTTCCGGCGCCCTCCATACGCACTTCCGCTCTCCCGCTGCGGGCCCGCGTGGCCGCCATGTTGGGTGCGGCACTGCCGGTAACACAGCCTGTACCGCGGAGGAATACCGCAGTACACCAGTAATTTCCGCTCCGTCTGTGAGCTAGTCCCCCAACCTCCCTGCCTTCTGCACGCCCGTTTTTAGCTACCCTGCCTCCTCCTGCCGATCCAGTAGGCTCCTAGCACCAGGCTTTTCCGTTTCTCTTTCCCAGTTCTTGCCGTTTTCCAAGTCCACGTGTCAAGACGATCCCTGTGCAGCTTAAGACAGCAGACAGCATTTCCTCCAGTACACCTCGTAACACACACTTGAACTTGCCCTTCCTGTGTCGTTTTCTCTATAGCTCTTTGCATCAAATGATCTACTCTGTGTGTGTGTGTTTTAGTCCAGTAAAAACGGACAGATTAGGGCCGGCAGGTGGCGTGGTGGTCAAAGGCATTGTACTCCCACATGGCTGACCGCGGACTTTGGGCCTGACAGCTGACTTTCTCACTTTCCCTCTGTCTCTCTCTGATCAAACTGGAAAATAATAACAAATATAGTTATATAATTAAAAAAAAAAAAAAAAAAACAAGCAGGGACAGGATTCCCAGTATCTAGGACTACCTACGGCATGAATAAATATTTGCTCAGTGAATGAATGTGCAGATGATGTCTTAATCCATTAGCGTTCGCATGAAAATAATTTACTATTAACAATAAAGACCCATCAGGACCAGAGGGCTCAGCACGTGGCATAGTGGTTAAGGCACTGGATTCCCGCATGGTAAAACCACAGTTTGAGTCTCAGACCAGGTGGCTTGAAAAATCACAGGGGGGGGGGAAGGGGGGCGGGCAGCAGGTGGCGTGGTGATTAAGGCGCTAGACACTCCCACATGACTTACCACAGTTCAGGTCCTGTACCTGGTGGCTTGCTTTCTCACTTTCCTTCTTTCTTTCTCTCTGTCTCTCTCTCTCTCTGGTCAAATTTAAATAAATAAATAAATAAAGTTTAAAAGAAAATCACACCAGGCATGTGTGCATGGTGCCCAAAATCCCAGAAAGAGAATGGAGAAAAAGGGATTGGTGGCATGGCTATTGTGGGGTGGCAGGGGTTCCTCACCTTCCCTCCCTCCCTCTCACTGTCTCCAGTGGGACCCCATGGCAAAAATCTTAATTAAAAAAAAAAAAAAAAAGAAAAGGCAGTGGAAGGGCAAGCAGATGGCATAGTGGTTAAGGGCACTGAACTCACAAATGGTTTAAGTCCCAGACCTAGTGGCTTGCTTTCTCATTTTCTCCCGTTCTCTCTTTGGCTCTGCCCCTCTCTGGTCAAATTTAAATAAATTTTAAAATTAAATAATTATTTTTAAAGGGGTTGCGGCCAGCAGATTGTGTAATAGTTACATTGCTGAACTCTCCCATGGACAAGTCGATTGCAGTTCGAATCCCAGACCTGGTGGCTTAAACTCACTCTGGGCATGTGTGCATGCTAGATACCCAGAGAGGAGAATAAAGGAGAAAGGAATGCAGCATGGCCATCCCCCCTGGGGGGGGGGGGACTTCTCCCTTTCTGTCTTTCTGAGCGCAGGGACCCCGTAACAAAAATCACTCTTGAAGGGAGAGGTGGGTAGAGTTTATGCTCCTGAGTCAGGAAAAAAAAAAAAAAACTGAATTCAAGTGTTGACTTCTGAATGACCTTAAGCAATTACTAGTTTTCTAAGGCTGCTCTAACAAAGTACCACAAACTGAATGTCTTAGACAACAAAAGTTCACTCTCTCACAGTTCTGGAGGCTGGACATCCAAAGGAAGGTAGTGACAAGGCCATGATCCCTCCAAAGCCTCTCAGAAGAAACTGTCCTTGTGTATTCCTAGCTCTTGATGCTTGCCAGCAGCCCCTGGAGCCCTTTGGCTCGCAGCTGCCTCCCTCCAAGTCTCCCTCTGTGTGCCCTCTCCTCTTCTAAGGACACCAGCCATATCGGACTCAAGGCCCCACCTGACTTCGCCTGAACTGACGACATTTGTAAAGATCCTATTCCAAAAAAGAGCACACTGATCATTCCACATGGACATGAATCTTTAGGGCCTACTATTCACAGGGGTACATGGAGTTTCATGTCATATCCCACCCCAGTCTGCTTTCCCTCCTACCTCATAGGCTTGAGCCACTTACAAGTATCAAGAGGCCTCTGATAAGCATGGAGCAAAGCAGGGCAGGGACAGACACTGTCTTTGCCCTCAGAGACCTCTTGGTTGAGGCCACAGTTAAGTACAGCTTCAAGGATAATAAAAGTGACTAATAATGGAGGTAGTTATTATTTACCACTGGAGTCCAAATCTGGCCAGAGCTGTTTATTTAAATGATGCCAACAGCATGCTGGGTAACATTGCAGACGCTTCCAGTTTTGCCATGGTAACATTTGAGGGGCATTCCTTTTTTGACAGTACTTATTCTCTCAATGTTCTTGTAGATTCACATGTTTGTCACCAAAGGAACCATTCCATGTTTTCCAAAAGGCCTAGAGAACGTAATGGGTACCTCTTC